GCATTCCAATCAAGAAAATAGAGGGAACAGAGGTATAAAAGCCACAAACATTTGAGGGTAGGGGGTAAAGACGAAAGAGGCACAGAGGGCTGAGGAGGGCTGGAACTCTATCCTGAGGGTGACATGGAGTCACCGGGAGCCTTGGGCATTATTGGCCACAATTGAGAGAATGGAGGGGGTAGAATTTGGGGTGGATTTGGAGGGAGGAGGGAGGTGAACATCTAGCATGGCTTCCAAGTCCCTGGTGCATGCCTGGGTGGGGGGATGGAGGGGGCACTCATGGTGCTCTGAACAGACGCAGGGAAGAAAGGAGCGGAGCGAGCTGACGCAACAGGGAACAAGACGATGCCGAATAAAGGTCTGGCTTCAACAGTTTCTTCAAAAACCTCATTCTTAGCAACTTCTCTAGTTGGCCACACCTGACTCTGGTGACAATCATCTTATACACGGAATGCCAATGTACATGTTCATTTACCTTTTGTTTTGCAAATGCCAGTCGGTGATTTCTTGCAAGTGATGGTGAGGGCCTCAGTGTTGCCCTCTCATACAGCCCAAGGGACGCTCTGGAAGGGGGCCCCTCCTCCCAGCTGTTTATCCTCCCCCCCATAAGGCACACAGCACAGCGAGTTCTCTGCACAAAGGAAGTGCTTGACAAAAGTGGCTGGCTAATGGTTTCCTTTGCTTGTTTTAGCCTCAGGGAAAGGGTAAGCCTCAGGTACCCTTCACTGTTCATGCTCTTATTAGTCTTCTACCTGATAAGGATCTGGTGAACAATTTTGAAAAGAAAATGAAAGCTTCCAAATGCCATTGCAACACTCCATCTTCCTCCTACGTGTCAAGAGGGGCAGAATATCTGCCTACTCCCTGCATGCTGTTTGCAGCAGCTCCTGAGCATATAGCTAAAGTCAGTGTCTCACACCATTAAACCACCATGGAATTTACAAACTTTCCCAAAAGAGCCTCTGAGGGTCATCCTTCTGGTAACCTGGTGGACAGAGATCTGGCTGGACCTCCTTAGATGCTCTGTTCTTAAAGCTGCTGATTGGCCAGGCATGGTGGCTCATGCCTGTAAACTCAGCACTTTGGGAGGCTGAGGTGGGCAGATCACCTGAGGTCGGGAGTTTGAGACCACCCTGAACAACATGGAGAAACCCCGTCTCTACTAAAAATACAAAATTAGCTGGTCACGGTGGCACATGCCTATAGTCCCAGCTACTCGGGAGGCACAGGCAGGAGAATAGTTTGAACCTGGGAGGCAAAGGTTGGGGTAAGCCAAGATCATGCCATTGCACTCCAGCCTGGGCAAAAGAGCAAAAACTCCATCTGGAAAAAAAAAAAAAAATCTGCTGACTTCCAGCCCTAGCTCTGGAGATAGAGCAAGAGCCAAAAGCCTCTCTAAACAGGAGCTGATTTTAATGCTGGAATACAAAGGGGTGGAGTGACTCCCTCTTCCCTTGGAGAGCCACTTGGGTAACCCAGGGCAGCTGCAAAAAGAAGAAAGGCTGCTCAAAAAACAAAAAACTGATTTGGTGCCTGTAATCCCAGCACTTTGGGAGGCTGCGGCAGGAGGATCCCTTGAAGCCAGGAGTTTGAGACCAGCCTGGGCAACATAGTGAGACACCATCTCTACAAAAAAATTTTTTTTTACATTATCCAGACATAGTGGCACATGCCTACAATCCCAGCTATTTGGGAGGCTGAGGTAGGAGGATTGCTTAAGCCCAGGGGGTTGGAGCTGCAGTGAGCTATGACTGTGCCAGGGTACTCCAGCCTGGGTGACAGAAGAAGACCCTATTTTAAAGAAAAATAACAGCTTTGTTGCATTCTCGTGGTTCATAAATGATGCAACAGCCAAGTGTGACAGCGCGTACTCTCCTCTCCTTAGTTACACACCCACAGTTCTTGCCACGAAGGGTGCAAAAACTCTAGCTTCGCAGAACAGAACTTTATGGGTACCTAAAGCATTCAGGAACAGTTATGTCGTTTCTATTCAAAGCTCACGGAAACAGTCTAAGTATGCTAAGTGATATGGTTTGGCTGTGTCCCCACCCAAATCTGATCTTGAATAGTAGCTCCCATAATTCCCACGTGTTGTGGGAGTGACCCGGTTGGAGATAATTGAATCCTGGGGGCAGTTTCCCCCATATTGTTCTCATGGTAGTGAATAAGCCTCATGACATCTGACGATTTTATAAGATTTCTCCTTTTGTTTGGCTCTCATTCTCTCTTGCCTGCCACCACATAAGACATGCTTTTTGCCTTCCGCCATGATTGTGAGGCCTCCCCAGCCACGTGGAACTGTGAGTCCATTAAATCTCTTTTTCTTTGTAAATTACCCAGTCTCGGATTATGTCTTTAACATCTTTATCAGCAGCATGAAAACGTACGAATACACTAAGGTTAAGACTTTATATTTCTTCTGAAATAATATTTCCCCCCGCAGTAATTTTTCCGAATTTCTATAAGACTAGCTGGCTTTCCTGACTTGGTTCTGGAGAACTGTCAACACCATTCAGTTAGGGAATGCTGCTGCTGCTCTTTCTGAAGCACACTGCCACAGCCGCCCAGGTGAGAAGCCACACCAGCCAAATTCTGTTCCTGAGAATTTCCTCCATATTCCAGAATGTCAAGCCAGGCCAGGATCTCTGTGATTTTTTACTCCTGGACCATTAATGATCTGGCCTCCCAATGGACAGTGCAACATTTGGATTCTAGGTTGGGCCAAGGGGAACATAAGTAATCATGATGCCACAGTTGCAGATTTTAAGTAAGCTAAAGCTCCTCTTAGCACAGGCAGAGGGGCCCAATCCTCTATAGCATGAATTAGCACTGCGGAATTGCACGGTGGGGGGCTTATCTTCACTTGCTCTTAGTCACTTTGGAAATCTGTGAGTGTGTCTGGGGTCTCCAGCATCACCCCCAGGTTTGGTAAGAGGTGATCTGGTAGCAGGACTCAGCATACAGCTGTCCCTATGGCTAGGATTTATGACAGTGAAAGAGGATGAAGCACAATCAGCAAGGAGAAGGTGCCTGGGATGAAGACCAGAGCACACCAGGCACAAGCTCCCAAGAGTCCTCTTCCAGTGGGGTCACACTGGATGTGCTTAACTCCCCCAGCAAACAGCAGTGGCCACAGTGTGAAGTGTTGTCAACCAGGGAAGTTCAGTAGAAACTCATTACCCAGGGATCTTATGGTGGGGCTACTGACGTAGGCAGCCTCTGCCTGCCCTATCTCAAAATTCCAGATGGAAAGCAAGTGTTCAGTATAAATCATACTGTTTGCACAAACAGCTTCAGCACGGCAAGCCCATCTTATCATTTTGGGAAAACTCTATATGGGTGAAGGAAACTGTTTACCAGTTAAGTTGCCAGACACCAGCCAAGGGTCAACTTTGCAGGCAGGCCCTTCTAAGGATAGCAGTCTAGTGCCTGCGTGATGAATGAACCAAGACTCTGTGAGGTGTGTAAATCCCAGGCCTCATCTGCTTTGTGGTTGGTTGTCCTCGTTAAGGTTTCCTACCATGGCTTGACCTTAGAGTAGCCCTTTCCTCTGGGCTGGCCCCACGTGATGCAATCGTGCTCATTCTTTGCACACTCTGGGCAACTCCTGCCAGAGTTTTTAGTGACATCACGGAATTTCTTAGAGTCACAGGGCCCTGAAAGTACATTTGGTTCATTCCCCTCAAGATACAGATGAGGAATGAGAGCTATGGCGAGGGTTAGTGACTTGCCCAGACTAAGTCTGGCTTTGAAAACCTTCTTCTTCTGCCAGACTCTCCTGGCCCCAAACATGGGAAGGGCTTTGACATTGACGAGGCCTCCATCCACAGCCCTCATCTGTGACCCACAGAGCTGAGAGGAAGAAAACAGACCAGCAACACAGAGGCTGGAGCCCAGCGAGTGGCCTGGCTATGCAACCAGGCCTGGTGAGTTCAGGGGGACATCGCCAGCAGTTCAGTCACAACGCACAAGAGGTCGTAGAGAACACAGGCTCAGGGCCCATCCATGCTGATCAACACAGGGTCACCTTGGGGTGTCTTGAGACCTCATCAGCAAAGCCCTCCAAGTAGCTGTCAGGCAGGTGGTGGTGTGTGTGCCCTAAGGGTCCATCCATTTGAAACCAGTAGCTTAGAGGAGAGGGGCGGCCAAAGGCCAAGCAGCTTGCCTTGGCCTCAGGCAAACGGGGTGCACCGTCATCTCAGGGGAGAAGGAGGGCAAGTCAGCAGTAGCAGAAGGTGGCAGCCTGAGCGGTAAGAACCAGGGTTGGGAATGCTCACTACCAGGACACGCTGGACGCCAGGTTAAGGTTGGCAAATGAATGATCCTGGGTCAAATGCACCACTGGAAGGAGGGCTTCCACTGCAATCACGTGCGTGGTCTGTGTCATGTTTCCTTTGATGAGACCCCCACTCACCACCACAATTTTCCATCCTCATGCAAAAGGGAAGCCGACACATGGTGATTTGGTTTGGATTTAAAAGACTCCAGTTCAGCTCAGCACTATCTTTAATTGAGGACATAAAAAGCTTTGGCAGGTAGTAGCTGTTTTCTAATGCGTGGACTGGGAAGCAGAAAAAGTGAATGGTCAAAGAAAGACACTCAAGTGGGAGGCAATGGAAGAAAACTCCCGAGTTGCCTATGTCCCTGATTCTGATCCTTCCAGAGGCTAAGCTATGGCTCTATCTGGGGCTCCATGAGGTCCAACCAAATGCAATGCCTGACCGTAGACTGGATCCTGTTGAGAGGGGGAAGATGCTATAGTGGGTCAACTGGAGGACACTGGCATAGGATGGTGGACTGGATCAAAGCATTTTATCAATGTTAAACATCACTAAAGTTGATCATTCTCCTGTGGTTGTCTAAGAAAACATCCCAGTTCTTAGGAACTGCATACTTGAAGTATTTCACACCAATGGATGGACTAATAACAGTCCTTCCTGGCTGTTATCACAAAATGCCATAAACTGGGTGGCTTATGAACAGCAAGCTGCTGCACTCACCGTTCTGGAGTTGGGAAGTCTAAGATCAAGGCGTCCGCAGGCTGGGCGTCTGGTGAGGGCTTGCTCCCTTCCTGTTTATAGAGGGTGCCTTCTCGCGGTGTCCTCAGGGCAACATACAAATTTTGTGAGAATACAAATTTTACTTTCCAACCAGGGCACCCCATATCCTAATCATACCTTGCCCGCCCTGCCCCCTTTTGTCCACTCCTCAAGCAGACTTCTGTGACTTATACGCAAAACAGGCCTAATGTTTACCATTAGGATGGGCTGAGCCAAGCATGCAGACTTAGCTTCTTCACTTTTTATGGCAAATAAAGCTGGTGGAAAAGTTCCAGAAGAAAGCAGACTAAACAGATGATTGCGCCGCTCCCAAGCTTTGGGACTGAAGCACACCGTCTAACTCCTCTGAAGCTTAGTGTTCCTTGGCTGTAAAATATCCAGTTAGACAGGCCCACCATCCCTTTTCCAGGGATTCCGGGGCCAGATGTGAAAGGGAATCTGGTGATGCATTTACTGGATGTGACATATCATCCCTGGTGTTTTTCAGCAAATGTTGTGAACATTCACATGCTAGGAAAGAAGATAAAACTATTGCCTCGCAACAGTTCAGCCCAGGTTTTGTAAGCAATTGAGTTTGCACCAACCTATCAAAGAAAGAATTCAGTTTTCAGAGGTTCATTTTGTTTGGTTTTTTAAATTCAGAACTGAAGATAAGGGACTGTTTCTATCCCATTGGCTTCTTTGGAAAATTACATCCTGCTTCTAGGTCGATCCAGGTGCGGCATTTTGAAGAATGCCCGTTACCTTCTATTATTACATCACTTTATGTCTCTGCCTCTCACTGGGCTGAGAGCTCCTTAAAACCCAGAGATTCTATCACAGTCACTTTTGTACGTCCCGCACTACCTAGCAAAGTGCTTCCTGCGTAGCGAGGCTTGAATAAATGTTTATTAAATGAATAAATGTGGTTTCAAAGATAATTTCTTTTCAGTATTCAAAACACAATGAATACTTGCAGATTTCCTAGAGGGAACAATTACTGAGTCATTTGAAGATATATAAATCTAAAAATTCAGGTGGTAATGCCCTTATTCCTTTTAATTCACCCTCTTTAAAGCATCCTCAATAAAACTACATTCCTATAACTTTAAAGAAGCAAGTAACATTGAGATAGTAGCAGTAGTGACAGAAGCAACTTAGATTTAGTAAAAACTACAATATGCCAAGTATTCTTTAAAGAACTTCACGTGTGTGGGCCGGGCACGGTGGCTCAAGCCTGTAATCCCAGC